AAATAGTAGTTATTAGGCTAGCCAAGAAGGCCTATTGCCTAGTTAACTCTAGGAGTATTAATATTCTTGACTAGTTAGCCTTTTAGTCCAAGTTTTAAATCTTGGCTGTTAATTACCTAGTTGACCTTAATCTAGGATATTTAGCTAGAAGGAACTTGAGATATTCTACTCTAAAATCTCCAGTTACGTACTAACTAATCTTTTATACTAAACTGTCACGGGTTAAACCCGTACAAAGCTCTAGAGTGCTCCCTAGAGCGATCACTCGCAGTGCACCTTTGTGTTACGAGGGTCACGAAACGGTTCGTTTTGTGCAGGCACCCTTGGGCTGCAAGGGGGGTGTCTGCGGGAAGGTGTGCCGACAAGGCCGGGCAAGGCTGGCACACGTGACCAAGAACCCAGATTAGGAAATATGGCAGGCCCATGGGTCCATGGACTACTAGGACAAGGAGGCGTGGACACATGGAGGGGATTTCGGCATTATATATACACGCTCCTTTACTTGGATAGTACAGTTCGTAGTTAACTTCGTTAGCAATCCTATACCTACATTTAGGATACAGTCCGATTAGGCTGCGCAACGGGTTAGTATTTTTCGTAATCGGGTTTGTTAAGACTAAGCGATACCCTATCAACGCCTAGTCACGTGATTAGGCTTATATAAGCTAGGATCACGTGGTATCTATTTGGTAAGGCTATACTTAAGCCTTACGGAAGATTCTATAAAACGCCATTCTATTCTATAGGATTAGAAATCACTCAACTTGATTTCTAAGCATCCTAGGAGTTAACTCGTATTTACGAATACTCGGCAATTACTCTCGTACTTACGAGATATTATAACGGAGTCTACGCCTATATAAAACAGGCCTATACTCCTTTACTTAGATAGATCTTAAGTCATTCAATAAGATAGAAAGCGACTATACATTCTACTCCTTCTTTCTACGGTCTTCGGCTACTTCCATCATAGATCCTAAACCTTGTCCCCCGGACAGTATCCGAAAAAGTACTACTATATATAATATTTTTCCGTATATAGACGAAATAACGAGAATAATCCTTACGAACAATATATACTTTATATACTTTAACGTATTAAGGATAAGGAGCTATAGTTTCGAAGCTAAAACCGGAAAGTTTAATTTTAGCGGTAAGACGTCGAAGTTACTCGAGCTTAGAGAGAGAGGCTTTAGGAGGTATAGTTAGCTATAGAAAAGGAAGTAAAGGATAAACCGCTATAGAAAGGACGATACTTACTTTATATACGTTAAGGGTAACGAATAGGAAGAGGAAGGAATAGTATTACGAACTAGATTACTAGAAGGGTCGCTAAGGATAAGCTACCTATATATAAGAGAAATAGGGAAGTTAGCCGATAGAGAACGAGGCTACGTTATATAATTAAGAGCTAGACTATAAAGGACTATAGACTATATAGATAGTCTAGCGATTAAATATTTCCTTAGTTATCTTAGTTAATACTCTAGTACCTACTCTATTAAGGAACCCTATCTTAGTTAGAACTACTTATAGCTCGAATTATAATACTCTAGGTATAGGTAGTCCTAGTGTTTATAGTAGTTAAGTATCTTTAGCGATTACCGTTTGGCCGAAGATTTTAGACGTTACCTTAAAGTGTGCTCGCTTATCATATACTATCTCGATAGCTTAGGGTAAGTAGTGATAAGGCCTTGGGGGTGGGGACATCGGTCGTCTAAGTTTCTCGTATTAACTATTATATTAGCTTAGGGGCCATTATTTATGGACTACCTACCTATAGGTACGCATCAGTGCGGTGGCTAGCTATATACCCTCTGAGAAGGCTAAATCAAGGCACCTCGTTTGAGACTGTTTATAGCACCTGCCTCAACCCTTTGGTCCGTGCTATTTATCGACCCAGTGCCCGCAATCTCTACAGGTACGAAGTATCTAAGTATCGGAGCCCGTTGAACTTGAATTTCTTCCGACACCACATTGAAACTCGAGAGTGGCTATCGCCGAATCTAAAGTTACCAGGCTGCCAAAGAGGCTACCCCATTGGCGTTGGCCCGTTCTCATAGATCGACCCATTATAGTCGATTCAGATCTCTAGGTATTTAGTGATGGGTTCCTCTCAATAGAAACATCTATATGACGCATTTCGGTATCCGCCTTTAGGACTTGTCATGCGTCATTGAATTCGCAATTATTGATTTAACCTGCATAACTCCCAGCAGGCGTTGCCGTAGTTCCAGCGTCTATATGGGTAAGGACTTTATGATGTATGAAACTGGGCAATCTTGAGCTGACATCCATTGCTAGTTTAAGATTGGCGCTTCTTCCCTGAAGAAGGATAGTCAACGAACCGAGACCACAACGATGCACAAGGAATAAGTCTGGGCACCACGTAATGAAACACCCTGGTAATGAAACACGCGTTTTTACGCGTTCCAAATCCTACTCCCTCCTGCTCTACATCATCCTACTCCACTAATTAATATATTTACATAATAAAATGGCATCAAATCGAGAGACTAGGATGCTCCAAGCGATATCCGACTACCAAAATCGCCGATACACGAGTATTCGCGCTACCGCGGCGGCAAATGATGTAAATCACGTTAGTCTCGGCCGTCGACTACGAGATGGTGTTTTACGAGTAATTACTCGTAAACCATAATAGATATTGTTAAATGAGCAAGAGCAAATACTTATACGATGGATACTCGACCTTAAGGCGCAAGGACACCCTCCTAGCTTTACTAAAATACGAGATCTCGTTATAATTATTTAAGGCAATTCCACGTGGCCCTTAAGTATCGTCTAAAACTAGATATTACGATTTATATAACGTTATCTAGAGATTCGCTCTAAAGTAGGTAAAAAGATCTATAGATTACGTCTCTAGAGTACTACTCCCGAGTCCCTAAATCGCTAGTTTAAGTATTTTAATATCGTACGAGAGCGATATTAAGTTTCCTAGGAGAATATCTATAATATGGACGAGATAGGCATCGCTCTAGGTGTCTATACTAATTAACGAGTAATTAGTAGAGTTAATACTACTTAATTATATAATGTAATACTAGAAAACCGTGAATGGGTCTTAATTATCGAGACTATTTCCATAAATAGCCGTCGACTACGATGTCTCGTTATATTTAAAGGAAAGATACTCTAATTAACCTAGTTTACCGACCCTAAGATCCTAGACTACTTATATACAGTCTTATAAAACGGCTAGACCTTAAATAATATCGGATTAGCCTAGCTACGCTAAATATTCATTCCTTAAACAGCGACGAATAACTATCGACTCCTTCTTCTCGATAGGCATAAAAGTTATGCTTTATACGGGTTTATATAGGAATACTATATAAACCGAGTAGTATTAGTCTATTTAATAGCTTATTTAAGTTATATTCTCCAGCCACTTAATATTACTTACTTTTCGCTCCTAAAATACTACTATAGGGATGAAATCGCTAACTTAGTAAGGTACGACGACGCCCCGGCCGTAAAGAAGAGTAGGTTTCTTAAAACCTATAAAAAAGTAAGCAATGAGGGTCTATTATTATTCCGTATCCGTACGGAATGGAATGCGGCTAGTATCTATCCCTAGGACCCTCGTAAAGTTATTCGATCTCACTAAGTACTATAAAATAGCTAAATCAATCAATTAACACCAACTACGCCGCCATCACGTAGACAAAATCGATATCTATCGATAGAGATTCGTACGCTACTTAATCAACGCTAAATTCGACAGGAAACGGACTCAATTTCACGACGTAAGACCGTTTCTCGATTAGTCCGTTTACTACTTTAAAAAACCGGTAAGGTATTGGATCGACTATAGTAGGATATCACCCTAAAATCACAATAATTTACTCTTTAACGTACGTAACTAGATGAGTTAGTCGCTAGGAGATAACCGCGTATCGTAATCGACTACAATGAGGTCTTTGCGAATATCGAGATGATTAGGTAGGCTAGGCAGGGAATGGAGGCATTAGAGGCGACGACGAGGTCTTCTGTACGACCGAATACTAGAAATACTACGCGGGATGGGCAGTTAAATGACACCCTGGCACCATTTATACATCAATTTAGTGCCAATGAGTCTGTATAATTAGCAAATCATGATTGTAGCACTGTTGGTGGCAAAAAAATGCGTGTTTCATTACTAGGGTGTTTCATTACGTGGTGCCTAGACTTATATACTATACTAATAGATAAAGAGATATACTTAACGGCTACCTCTTTAGAAATATTATCTTTACTAGGAGACTTCCGCTTACGGGTTCGTAGGGCTCGCTACTATAAAGTATTTAGTAACTAGTCGTATTCGCGGGGTTTAGAACGCTCTATCCTCGTCCGTTACTTAGGCGGTCTAGGAGTTTATAGGACGCGGCGAGGTCTCTCCCTAGGTCGCTTCTTAGATTAGTATTCTTTCGGTTAAGGCCTTAGTATTCTTAGATAGGCTAAAGAAGGACCTAGTTTCCCGCACTTTATAGGGGAATAAATTTCTTTCTAAGCCTACTAATTAACGGGCAAGGGTAGGATCTTAATAGTAATATTAGCCTACCTCCTTACACTGTTCACTAGTAGTCGGACATTAGGTGCCTCAATATCAGTGCACTCGGCGCTCTTCCCGGTAGAGTTAGTAGTAGAGTCTAAAATATGCCGCTTCTTCGCCTTTAGTAGTAACTAAGGGATAACGACTTCCAGATATATTTAACCCTGTGTACTGTCAATCCCACGAGGACCCTGTCCAGGTGAGCGTGGTGGCACATCACCAACCGCAGCGGATTGCTCAGGGCCCCCCAGCACGACCCTGTCTCTGCCACCCAACTCACTTCGGCAGAAGGCATCTAGGTAGAGGATGTCATCTCTTCCTTCCACGAGTCGCCTCGGTCACATCCTGAACTCCACAACCCCATGGCTTCGCGGTGTCCACTCCTCGCTTCTCGTTAACACTATTCGATGTAGGTAGCTCTTCGGCGTCAAGCCCTAGCCTCTGGAATTCTCGATTCGTCCAGTCAAAGATGTTGTCGTATTCGAATCCCTGTCGGTGGAATAGCTTAGTGAATGTCTTCCGGAGGTACTGATAGTCCGGCCGATCCTCATCGCGCAAATCATGCACATAATTAAAGTAGTCAACAAATTCGGTGGGGAGACCAGCACAGAGTTCGCTCGCACCGGTTGCCTGCTTCTTCACCGAAACCAGCAGGTATTTAGCATCCCGCTTCGCCTTGAGACCTTGCCAAGGGAGTCTCCCACGCATAAAATACACTAGCATATAGCCGAGTGCCTCCAAGTCGTCGCGCCGGGATTGTGCTGTAGGACAGTCAGCCGACCTTCTTGCACGCTTGAACATAGTGGGCGTGTCGCCTACCGACGCCCAAATGCCCGTTGATGCTCGCATATTGAGGAGGACGTGCTCGTATATCAACACGAGGAGTACTACTCGATCCCCACCGATCAGGATGGCGGTAGATCGCAAGGCCTAAGTCGGTCATGTAGACGATATTCGCTCGCTCGCCCACACCCAGGAGAAAATTTTCAGTATTGACGTTCTGGCCGTTGTTGATGGCCATAAGCTCAAGCATACCCTAGAGGTAAGTTTGATAACTACGTACAACCGACAGTTTTGAAAGACTTTATAATATAGGCCTCGGTAGGTACTAATTAGAGCCCGGGAGCGCTCCCTGAGCGCTGAGGAACTGGCAGATGAGCTGAGGGTAGGCAAAGCGGCAAGCGGCTAATCAAAAGAGACGGCGGGTGATGGGTTTTCACGCGATACTCCCTCAGTGAGTAGTAGTCTCATGCGAGAAACCTATCCTCTTCGTCCCCATTCGTGATCACTACTCAGCCTCGGCTCACTTACTGCTTCCTTGGTCTACCCGAGCCCTTATTCTCAATCAGGCGCCCCTAATCGGGCAACCCACCTACTAGATTAAATCATACCGTCTGCATTTCTACATATCTCTTGTCAACGCCTACGTAGTGTCTAGTCCACATCCGGTTCTGAAAAGCAAAGATCCTCCGTAGATTGCTGTAGCGCCCTGCACTCTACGATTCCATGATTGACCAATTCGTCGCTTCAGATTAGGACTTCACTCCAAGACCTCTCATTTCCACAAGATGGCAGTGACAGCGCCAAAGAGACAAGCATGCCACGGATCCTGTCACTGCGGACTGACACAGTTCATCGTCTTCCTCACCCTTCCACATCCATTCTCGTCATCTCATCCACCACAGCCAATCCAACAAGAAGTCTACCGCTGTAACTGCAGCACGTGTTACAAAATGAACTTCTTCCACGTTCATCCTGCCAATCCCCGAGACGATTTCATGCTCCTTTCACCACTTGATCTAGATCATGAATTGAGTACCTATCAATGTCATGATGAGAAACGGAAATACTACTTCTGTCCAAAATGTGGAGTGCGTTGTTTCACGTTTGGAGGCGTGGGCCAGGTCGATGTCGTGGATTTTAGAGCGGTAGGGGAGCTAGGTGATTACAAAGAAGGAGAAGGGAAGAGACAAGTTTGGCGCGCCATGTGGGATGGAGAGGATAATACTAGACCTTATGTTTCAGTGAATGGGACTTCGATTGATCCTAGAGAGGATTTCGATCTCCGTGTGCTCACTGAGGAGAAGAGAGTGCAGTATTTTGATGATCGGAGTGAGCCCGAGGAGAAGAGGGAGGACCCAAGATGGGACAGACCGCATTACGGTGGATGTTATTGACCGGTTGAGAATAAGATCAAACCATGTAGCAGCTGAAATAAGTCCACTGCTCAAACTGAAAGCCGAACCTAAGTGGCTACGCCCGAATCACAAGACCCGTAACGGTCGCCGCGCAGGCAACAACGATCACCAGACTCTCAACCGGTGAGGCATTTAAGGCTTAAAGAGCTGTGGCAAAGACTGCATGGGCTTCTGTAACACCACCCGACGATTTGCCCTCAACACTTCCTGTCGGTACAGTATTGCTGCCTACGAAATAGTTAGCTCTCGATGATCGATACCAACCACCCTCTAGCTCCCTGCAGAATCTCAATAGTCCCAACCACATAAGGACGCCGCAATAGAAGTTTAGGGACTATTTGCTCTTTCCCATTCCTGTGCTTTTTTCTCACGTTTTCGCCTCTTTCCTTCAATATCGGCCTCTGTCTAGCGAACTCCAGCAAATTCTATCAGCGGGAAAGTCGTCCCAAATCGACTAGGCTCACTCGGATAAACAATCGACCTAGGCACTCTCAATTAGAGACAATCATTGCCAAGGAAGACTATCTCGGCGGGAACATCATCCGAAGCTACTGTTATAAGTCGGATCGGGACCGGTTCGAAGGAGGCGTGTGTTGATAGTGGAAAAGGTAAAATGTCCCCACCATCATCCTTAATTAACTACTCGATAAAAATTTCGTAAGGAGCTTTTCTAATACGATCTAGGCTAACTAGCTCCCCTTTCATAGCCGCCTCGCTCACGGTCAGCCGGTAGTACTCACCAGTAGGCTTATATCGCTTCGGACAGACATCTAAGTTATATAGAGTCCATTCGCCTCGTAATCCACCAATGGGAGGTTTTCTCTACTTGTGGATCAGCCGTCAACATCTTAAGTCGTGTAGTAGCTAAGTTCATAGCTTCGATCTTAGCCTTAATATATTTAACGACTTTATCTCTCTCCTCTTCATGGTACCAAAGCTTAGAATATGTGAGCGATTGATTATCGTCATTAGAGGCCGTACCATCACTCCAAGAATCGCTTATTTCAGCCTCCTCGTCACTGAGACCTTCGTTATCCTCTTCGTCGGCCCTTAGGTTGCACAAACCATAGAATCGTCCTGGGTGTTCCTTTATACAGTAATACCTGTCGCGCCGTTCATCTAAATTGTCTTTCGTAAATCCTTATTCGATGAGTGCTCTAATTCGTTCCGCCTTATAAGCCTCTCGCTGTTTCTTGGCTTCTGCTCGTTTCTTGATCTGTCCATGCGCCCTTAAATCTTTCACCGACTACGCCCGCTTACGCTTTTGTGGCATCTGTATGCGGCCGGAGGGTTTCCGAAAGAAAAGTGACGTAGGGTAGCGGAAGTTAGGTTTCGTTTCTGTGAGGCGCCGTCAAAGCTCCTATTGAGTTGTGCTTTGCAGACATGGCATTGAGTCGATTGAACGACGTTCTCTCGCAATTAATCAAGGTACGATCGTGAAGCGTTCACAGAAACTCCTCTCTCCGTTCCTCTACGCCGTGAGATTTAGCTTCGGGATTACTTTAGCTCTCTCAAGTCTTGCGCAGTATCAAAAGTAATTCCAGTACCCGGAGCTAGCCCGAAAGAGGCTAAGTGTCTATCCCGTATGGAAAAGTAGTATTGACGAGTCCAAACGCCTCCGCCACGCAGTTACGCTACGTATTTGTTTGACACGTTGGTGCTTTATTGGTGGCACAGAGACTTTTGGGCATGTTTTCGGGCTTAATCTACCCGCAGGACGAATAAGGACAAGCATTCCCGCATTTTTCACGTGACTGATTGAAGCGCCGTCACTGAGGCAGGGATTTCATAGCAAATCGAACGTGCTCAAAGTATTCAACAGGGATGTGCACCCTACAGCTAACAACGCTCTATTTATTCTCAAATGAGCCTCGTTAAGGCCTTCGATGGTCAAGGTAGAAAAATCAAAATCACTGGGGCACCCTTTTGACCCTGACAACAATTCTAGACACCACCGTTTTCTATGGTTCAACATTGTGAATTTCGATCGCCTTCTGTCGCCTTCTCACATGCCTCCTGCCACGCTGAGGCTAGAACCATGGATAATGATGGTGTTTGTGAGGGCTGTCAGGGTCAAGCCGCTCTCGCCCCAAATTCTTGAGATGGCACAGTTAAAGATTCTACGGACAGGCATAATGTCTTTATTATGTTGTAATTTGCGAGAGGGAAGCAATATGATGTCACGTCACACCTCTCCAACTCAACTCGTCCCCATTTAGTATAGCTCATTCATACCAGCCACAATCCAAGCCTGTGGATCGAAAACGTTACTTCCGACAGTCTCGTCCTCGATTACCCCTCTCAACAAGGGAATGACTCTGAGGAGCGAATCGGCGGAGCGAACGGAAATGCGAGCGAATGCCAAGGATGCGATTTAATGCCAAGAGGGTCGATTTTTAGCGTGTTTTCACCCACAATTCCATCTCTTGCCATGAATAGTTGTAAAATCGCATTAATTACATCGAATTACTCACCGACCTCGCCGTCGCCTCATAAAATGATTTATATAGCCTTTTTTTAGTGTTTTAATAACTCCTCCTCTTTTACGTGCTAAAATAACTAACATTACGTAATAGACTACGCTAGTTAGGTGCGTTGAGCATTATCGAGGTATTCTTGAGCGCTACGTTAATGCGCAACCGCCTTATTAGCGTTAGGAACCTACTATCGGAGAGGTCTTTAATAATAGAAAGGATGCGGAGGTTCGCTTATAATTATAGGCGCTCATCGTAGAGTTTAATATTGTTTATAAAGGCGGTGGATCCTCTAAGGTTCTAGGAGGCCTTTATCGGTATATACACTACGGTAAGGAGTCGAGAAATAACTATAGGCTCGAGGATCGAGTAACGCGTAATCCTAAGGGTAAAATTACCTTATTACGTAAGCGTAAGAGTACTAAAGTATACCTAACTAACTACGATTAGCGCGTTAACCTTATATTCATTATAATCGATAAAAAGGATAAGTCTTAGGGACGATAATAGACCTTTACGAAGGTCTTACTTACTTATATAGGTTATCCCTTAACCGCCAACCCTTTTGCCGCCTATCTAAATTACCGTAAAAGGTTTACGGAGTAGAAGGACTTAATTATAAAGGCTATAGCTTATCGTAGAGCTAAAGTCGTGTATTCTAGCTTAAGGAGGATTATAGAGAGTAAGGAATTCGCCCTCTACCTATCCGTTAAGGAATGTTATAATATAATACGTAAAAAGCCTATAGATAAGGATAATAATAAATTAATTATTAGTCTCGTTTATAAGATTTAAGAGAATAATTAGCACTACGAATTTAGGAGTAAGGTTTATAAGGATAAGGAGGGTAAGGTCGTCGGTAGAAAATTTATTTAAGTATAGTTTACGTATGTCCGGGGGACAAGTTTTAGGATCTATAGTGGAAGTAGCCGAAGACCGTAGAAAGAAGGAGTAGAATGTATAGTCGCTTTCTATCTTATTGAATGACTTAAGATCTATCTAAGTAAAGGAGTATAGGCCTGTTTTATATAGGCGTAGACTCCGTTATAATATCTCGTAAGTACGAGAGTAATTGCCGAGTATTCGTAAATACGAGTTAACTCCTAGGATGCTTAGAAATCAAGTTGAGTGATTTCTAATCCTATAGAATAGAATGGCGTTTTATAGAATCTTCCGTAAGGCTTAAGTATAGCCTTGCCAAATATTTACCACGTGATCCTAGCTTATATAAGCCTAATCACGTGACTAGGCGTTGATAGGGTATCGCTTAGTCTTAACATATATAATTACTAAATGGAATTAAAGGCAAATGTAAGGGTTTAGCTAGGAATTTAGAGTAATTCGTCTAACTACCGTATAACGAGGATTCTAAAGCTAAGGAGAGAAAAGAAAAGAGAAAATCTATCTACTGTACGAATGAAGGAAATACTCCCCAGCTTCTCCTATAGTGGGTCAGTATGGTTTCCTGGGAGATAATCGATAGAGAGGAATCACGTAGCTTCGGCTGTACAGTTGTACAGCCCAAAGGTGCACCACGAGTAATCGCTCTAGGGCGTACTCTAGAGCTTTGTACGGGTTTAACCCGTGACAGCAAATTACAAAAGAACTTCGACTTACTAAATCTATAGTTCGACTATATATTCGCTCTAGTATCTATACACCCTAGAAACTAGTTGGTCGTACGCCATTACTTACTACTCGTAAAAGAAGGCGCTTAGTTTAAAGGGCTACGCTTAATGCCTATTATCGTCGCCTATCATATACGGCAATTGCTCAATTAGAAGGTATTCAAGCCTGTCGACGCTCTTTAACAATAGCATTCGAAAAAGAGCAATATCATTATCGTACGGCGTAAGAAAAGCCATTTTTAACTCCTAATTATATGTAACAACGTCTATAATGGGCGAAAGCCCATTAATCCTAGGATTTTAATATATAGAAGCGAGTTAGTTAGACTAATACCGTATCCTTTACAATAGGAGCATTCGGCAAGATCTATATTACGCGTACGACTAAAGAGAAATATTAATCGGAATACTTAGTTCCAAAATTTTCTAGATTTTTAGTAGTAATAGTATATAGCGTAATATCTAGTGTTAAAAAAGGCCCTTTAATCCTTATGGATAAGGCCTAGGGAAAGGTTAATTCGTAGGTCTATATGGAAAGAGTATTACCTTAATTTTATCAATATCTTCGTAATATTCAATGCTATATCGGCTTTATGCGAAATTGTCACTGGATGCCAAGGAGTACGTATATATAGTGGATTGCTAGAGATATCGACACTTCGTGTCGATACTCCACCTCTTTTTAGCTTAATCGCTATGGGCTATAGCATCCGCTCTGACAGAAATATTTTAATGGAAGATGGCGCATCTATTTATACTAGTAAGCAAACAAGGGCCTATTATAGAAGGCATTAGATTAATCGAATGGTTTGGCCAGCGCATTCACTAGATCTCAATCCTATTGAGAATGTTTGGCGATTACTGAAATATCGTATTGGGAAACGATTTCCTAGAATAGATACCGAAGTACGGCAATATTTACTAGAAGAGTAGGATAAACTATAGCCGGAAGACTTTATGAAGTATATAGAGACAATGCCGGAGCGCTGTAGGGCAGTTATCGCCGCGCAAGGTGGCCATACTAAATGGTGAATTGTATATATCATTGAGAGCGACAGCGAGGTTTGTACAGGCGGTTTGGCAGCGCAACTAGTGTAACAAGGGGGGGGGGGGGGGGTTGCAGCCCTTACAGGAGACCCCCCTGGATCGTACGGTAGCTAGAGTAACTATCGATAGAATAAGGTTACGTAAGGTAGTCTTGTAGGAGGTCGCCGGTTCTAACCAAGACTCCATACGGGTTCAACCCGTGATACTAGGCCTGTAACTCAAAATCCGCTCTAAATGTTGACTTGTTTGCATATAAAGATGGAAGATAGTCTTTCACTCATTAACCTTTCGAAATTCTTGAGCTAGTATCAAACTTATTTGCTGGACCGCCGGGGAATGTGACTTCATCACTAGGCTTTTCAGTCTAAGGTCCAGTTCTTGAACCCAAGAAGTAGGCCGCAGTCTCCTCATTATGTAGAGTTGAGAAAGAAGTCGTTGGTATCCGTCCCTGAGGTATTGGTATAGCTGTATGAAAGACGAAGCGTTGCATGGCCCTGTAAATTATTACCAACTCCTGGTAAGCTGATGACAACAGGTATCTCAAGAGGTTCCAGATTGGTCCAATGTCCGAGAGCTCTACTATTGAAAGTGTGAATGTAATATATTACTCAGCCTGAATAGAGCCTGAGAATTCTCTTTTGGCCTAACATCTACCCATTGTGGCGTGTAGATAGCTGTTGCAGCAAGAATGACCTCACGGCCCGCGAAGGCTGTCTCTTCCTGAGTAAATGGGTTGTTGGCGAATTCCACTCTAGTGGCGTCGAACGCTTGCCCTCCATCGAATAGGATTTTTGCAGCCTGCGATTTGATCTGGACGTTGAAGTTGGGCGGATCAATGTTTGGATCTTGATAGCCTCGTCGAGCCTCCCAACGAGTTTTATTATAGGGTGGATGTTCACAGACAGAAATTAACCTTCTGCTTCTAGTCCGTCATTTGACTCCCCTACTATCGGGATGTTGAGTTTTTCGAGGGCTGCAAACCAATCGCGGTGTTATAGGGCGAAAGGCATGGAGAGGAAATGAAATCATAATACTCGCCACCTCGGGAGCCACGACTTTCAGATGCCAAGGCGCTATTTATGCACTCGGGTGTCAATAGTACTCCGTACTCTGTCCTCCATAATCGCACTTACTGAGTCAATGGCCCACCGTTGGAAATCTGGAGTCTGGTAGTACTACCATTAAACTGGGGCTCAGCTGACTACCTAATGCAAAAGTAAAGAACTCATCTTCTGCCAAAGGGTATACACTGGCGCAGGCGTCCGTTCTCTGGTAGTTCCTCGCAATGGCAAGTGAAGCTCAATTCGACGCAGCTTTGTGAGTCGAGCTACACATTCTGCCCTAATGCCCCGCGCTCACTGCACATAGGCGCCGTGAGGTGTCACGTCTTGTGTAGCAAGCTAACACCATTCGTTCTCATAGAGATCTCCTCCGTCGACTGTCACCGCTCTCTGTTTCCAAGAATCTCGACGCAATCACTTCCCTTGTTCCCGATCTCACCGAGGACCTACTCTCATCAGTCGACCAGCCATTAACCTCCGCAAGAGACAAGAAGACCGGTCGGGACTATCTCTTATGTGACTACAACCGAGATGGTGACTCCTACCGAAGTCCTTGGAGCAATGAGTTTGATCCTCCTCTTGACGATGCCACCTACCCAAGTGACAGGGTGAGAAAGATGGAGCTTGAGGCTAACGAGGCATTCGAAGTGTACAGGCAGATGTACTATGAGGGTGGTATAGGCAGTGTCTACCTGTGGGATCTAGATGATGGCTTCGCTGGAGTTGTGTTACTCAAGAAAAACGTGGGTACAGAGGCAGGCTGGGATAGTATCCACGTCTTCGAAGTCGACGAAAGGAGAGGAGGTGCACGAACCTGCCACTATAAACTGACTAGTACTGTCATCCTTCATCTGGGCCGCGAGAGCGAGGCAGTCGGTTCACTTCATCTAGCTGGGAGTATGACAAGACAAGTGGAAGCGGATCTAGTGGCCGAAAATGTGGGCGGCCTAGGAAAAGACGGAGGTCATGTTTGCAATGCTGGCCGGCTGATCGAGGATATGGAGGGCAAGATGAGGAACTTGTTGCAAGAAGTCTACTTTGGAAAGGCAAAAGACATTGTCGGTGATCTGCGAAGTGTTGCTCCATTGACTGGTGTGAACCGAGATCGACAAGCACAGAGAGATGTGATTCAGAGCATGGGAGGGAAATAATGCCTTTGCCTGACCGTTCGAGTGCACTGCTCATTCGTTCCGTATTTGGGTTTGGCCGCTGAGATGAGAACTTCGACTAGGAAGAGCCAGGCATGTGGGACTCCGAGAACGAAGGCAACCAATACTTGCTGCCTTTCCATGCTAATATGCGCACATGTCGCCGTCAAACCTGTCGATGTACCTCCCTCCGTCGACTGCGATGCACGAGGGAAAGGTTGACATCGAGCGAAGGCGTCACCTCGAGCAACTGGATGGAAAATTACCGTGAGTCCGAATTGGTCGACACCAGGAGGACCGGGGGAGGACGATGACCACTTTTTTACCTCACTACCTGGTGAGATGTTGGGCTATTATTCTCACAAGAGCCGATGCCTGAAACTTAGGCGCATACATCAGATAATCTCATCACAGATATTTGGTGTCAGAATAACAAGCCGGTAGAATTTCCCAAAACAGATGCAAATACTCGGTACGGGGTATAGCCTGCTGGTGATAGAATTTGCCGGTGAGGCCGATTGAATCGACTCGCGTAGGACGGAGGACTTCTTATTAGACCTGATTTCCCCGGACTTATGTCTAGAGTGTACGGCACCTAGACACTTTTGACACGACTGCTATCTTGGGCAGTTACGAGGTCCTGCATTCCGTACCTCACCTACGGAAGATTCAGGTGTCCCCGCTGAAGAGTTGGCCATCGAGTCACAATATTCGGATCGACAGTTTTACAGTTCTCGAACTAACGCCACGCATAGCACGAGTCCTATCATGAGCCACGAATTGAATGGCGGGGTTGGCCATCAAGAAAGTCAATTGGCCTGCAATGAATCTTAGTGGATTGAGCCGCTCGAGCTGCCGCCACCACCTTGACCACCAGCTTAGCCGTTCGGGCACCTGATCGCCAATTCGAGCTCTAAATTGGTTTCCCAGCTCTCAAAACCTCACTGCCAGCAATTTGTTCAACAGCGGGAGATATCCTTTAGAGCGTGATCAGGTACAGGCAGAGATTCTGGTGATGTGTCGCCTATGCGGCGTGCTACCAGCTCTACCCGGATTGTTGTCTCGACTGCTACTGAGTACCAGTACCAGTTGTACTTTCCTCCGTTCCTAGATAACAGAAGCACGCAAACAGACTCCGTGAGGTTAGACCGGGAGCAACAAACAATACAAGATGACCACCGCTCCAGTCAAGAAGGCTTGCGACGCCTGCCATCGGCGCAAGGTCAGATGTTCGGGCAGCTTACCATGCAATAATTGTGGCCAGTCCGGCCTGCAATGTACCTATTTATCCATCCCACAGAAGAAGGGTCCAAAGGGCTCGAGAGCCAAAGTCATTTCTGAAATTCGAGACACCCAGCAGCAATCAACACCTCCCGAGCCAAGGCCAGCACACTCGAACGAACCAGGCTCTTTTGATTTCAGTAGTCCGCCAGTATCGCCATCCTATTCGTACACCCGCAATACAGCACTTCTTTCCCAGCAGACCATCGAAAACTGCCTGGACTTCTACTTTACCAACATGTCCACTACTGCTTGGATACTGAACCAACAGCGCCTGAGAGACTTGATCAAATCCCAGCTGGCATCAGACGTTGAAGTCTACTGTCTCACGGCCTCTCTCTGCGCATTTGTCATGGTCCAGCCAGGAATGAATTTGGCTGTGGCGCCTGGGAGCCACTACGAAGGTGATCCTCCGCAGAATAGATATGGCTACGCCAATATGCTTTTGGATGATACCCTCCGTGTTAGAAAGTGTATCAACTATGTCGAGGCTCCAACTCTCAGCTCGGTGCAGGTCTCCTTTTTCCTCTTTAGCTGTTATTTCACCCTAGAAAAACAAAATATATGTTGGTTCCATCTCCGAGAGGCCGCAACATTAGCTCAACTTCTCTCGTTGCATGAAGAGTCTTCCTATCTGGTCGGAGACACTCTTGACAACACGTACAAGAGACGCATTTACTGGTTGCTCCTTGTAACTGAAAGGGCTTATGCTATGGAACGCCATCGACCCCTAAGCCTCCATCCCTCAATCGAGTTACCTGCCCCAACGGGTCCCGAGGAGGAAGATGTCATCACAGGAACGATCTACCTGATCAGTCTGTTTCGATGCATTGACGATGAATTTATGGCGCTCTGGAACAAGGTTAAGACTGAGTGTTCGACTACTTGGCTGTCTCAGCTTCAGCAACAGCTGACCGATGCATTGCCGCCAGTACTGGCAACGACTGAAAGCCAGATCGCTGATGTTCGAATCACGTTGCATTGGCTTAGAATCATGGTATGGCAGCTTTCCATCACGAATGGTTGCCTGTCCTCGAGCTCGAGTAACACTTCGATGACCTTTAAGTATCCGATAGAGGTCGCGAGAGATCTGTTGCAAGACATTACCGGCCTTTCACTCCATGCGATGGAGGTCCACGGCGTGGGCTTAATCGAGAAGCTTTTTGATGTGGCGTGCACACTCACGGATGTCATCGCCTGCGTCCCTTTGGAATCCGCCAGCGCGCCGAACTACCAGACGCCAACAGACTATCTAAATCAGTTCTTGACTCTGATTTCTCAACTGAGGGGAGGAGCGTCGCGGTACCTGCCACTTCTTTTGGCCAAAGTCTCCGAACATCTTCCAAGTATGGCTCCTCCACTAAATCCAATCCCGATCACGATCAAGCAAGGCTACGCAGGAGCAAGTGACAATATTCCCACCCCGACGCCACCGGAAGGCACACAAATCCACTTTTTTGAGGGCAAGGCTTCCCGTGGAACGAACTTGAGTGGACCCTGTACAGAATGGCAGGCACAGGTAGGCCAACCTCGACAGCCCGGCCTGAGCGAGAGGGGATTGATGTTTAGCGACTATAGTCCAAGTGTCCAAGACAGTGACGTCGCTATGACCCCTTCATCTCTGGGGACACCGCCGGCCTCGTTCCTCGTAAAACACGCCGCACAACCCATCTTGGCACCTGTTCCAAGAAGTATACCGACCGGAGGAGGTGCGCTCAAGTTCGAGGGCTATTCGGCTTGAGTGGAGGACCACTGAGTGCTAGATCGGTCATGCTGTTTAGATCATTCGGCGCCAATTACTCTACTCTACTGTATGAAAAGCTGTGCAAACCCTGCCTTGTCCGACTTAAGGTCTGTTTTGTGAGCATACGGTTTCTCAGAAACCGGAAATGGGGCCGCCTACACCACTGAGTCCGAGGGCAGCTATATAGATCGATCGACTGATTGCAACAACACAGGTACCCATTTCCTGTCTTGCAGATACTTCTCAGAGGATGATCCGGATGGAAATCAGTATTACTAGTATGTAAGCAGTTATAATAGAAATGATGGGCTTAAAAAAGAATGCTCTAATCAGGATACCAGCGCCATTATTATATGGAATCAATCTTCTACTACGTCCCTAGATGGGTGGAGGCAACGCCAGAAGCTCAAATGAATCATGAGCAGAGTAAAAGTTCAGCCGGGATAGGTGAAGCTGACTGGATAGAATAGACTAATGAGTTTGTTCTTCTTTGACATCAGATATCGCGTGACGTCTATGAACGACCTCCCCTCGGTTGCAGGCAGATGCATACCTAGGTAGAGAGTTCACTGGGAGGAATATTTTTCAACCACATATATGTCCTCAAAATGCTGCTTGCGGAGGATGCCGCATACGAAGAATTACGGAGGCAATCCCGCGCTTATAATTTTACACCTGCCACTGATTCAAATGAAGTGCCTTGTCTCAAACTCGTGACCATGGTTCGTGACTGTTTTTCAAGTCCGTATAGGGTAGATCAGGAGTACTCGATATCTATATCTTCGAATCTTGTGGTTTCCGCTTCTTACTGCCACCCACACCAGTGACCTCTTCGCCAGACAATAAGAAATCAGGATATTTAAAGTCACCACCTGGACTACCTGCACCTATTCTCCACGACCCGCCGTCCACGACGAGGTTATCGGCAGTAATGTAATTTGCGGCGTCGCTGAAAAGAAAGATAGTTGCATCTGCAATTTCTTTGACCAAACCCCACCGACCCACAGGGATCCCGGGAGCCTGGGGCGCCCCCTCTGGTTCCTTAGACCGAGATCGCTTGGACAGGCGATTCATACCCTCGGTGTTGGCGATGGGACCAGGTGCGATGATGTTGGAAGTCACACCGAAGGGCCCATATTCGAGCGCTACATTGGCGGAGAGGGCGTCGATGCCTGCTTTCGCAACGGTCACATGGGTTTGAAGGGGGACGCCGGTATAGTGCATGGTGGCGGAGACATAAATGATCCTGCCGCCAGGGCCAGAGGTGGAGGTCTTGGGAAGAGTAGATGAGGAGTTGTGTCGCTTTGCGGACTCGACAAGGTGGGGCAGGGCGAGTTTGGTGACATTGAAGGAACCGAGGATGTCAATGTCCATGACTGTTTTAAATGCGTTGGATGAGAGTTGCGATAAAGGCGCGAGGAAGTTGCCTGCGGCTCCAGCACTGTGAAGGAAGTCATTATCAACCTCGTCTTTAGGTGCGTACGTGGTATGTGTAGGTGAACGCGAGATCTTGCTTACATCAAGAAGTCGATGCCGCCCAGCTCCTTGACACAGACATCAATGGCCTTCTGGAGGCTCTCAAGGTCCCGTACATCGACACCACCAATGCCTATGACCTTACTACCCGCTCTAGCGGTGGCGATGTCCTTAGCTACTCGCTCGGTCTTTTCCACGTTTCGCCCTACGATGACTGCGTTGGCGCCCAGGTGCACCAAGGCGCGTACCTGGTTGGAGCAGATGGAGCCATTTCCGCCAGTGCAGAAGACGACCTTACCGGCGAAAAGACCATCTTTCCAGACTTCTGAAATGTACTCTGATTTGGGGACTGTCATGGTGGCTGAATCGATCTTGGAGGGAGAGAATGAGGAGGTGGGTTTGAGGATTGAGGATCGGAGATAGTGACAATGACTGTCTACCTAGTTATATTTTGGACTCGGTACTGGGTATATAGTACTAAGTGGAAAGAAAGTCAAGGCCGTAAATGATAATCTCACCTCACCATGGCAAGTTTCTGGTGAATAATAGCTGCGGAGTGAGGGTTGATCTCTGGCTCTAACCTATGTTGCTGCTGGAGTTAGGTGCGTACCAAGTAGTAGTTTATAAGATGCGGACGTAGGAGTAGCAAGTGTTACTCGGGAATTCGGGAGCGTGAATGGGCCTCGGTTCATGCAAGGTGATCAGTCGGACTGCGGAGTACTAGTATCTGTACTAGCGACGAGCGACTAGCGCTAGCGACTCTATCATTAATTGACTAGAAACTGCTGGGAGTCTACTAAGATGAACTAGTGGGACTAAGTTGTAACTAGCGGAGTACTCCTCCAGTGGGGGAGCATGCCGCCGCTTTAGACGATTGTGCCACACCATTCCACTTTACGTAAGGGCAAGTAAATATTCGCGAAAGTGGCATTGGTAAATCAAACCGCTTATGTAAACTCCAGATTCAAACCGCTTATGTAAGACACCATGTAGCAAGGCACCGCAGCTGCGAATGCAATCACAACATCACCACTATTACAATACGCATTCTGCGTGCAGGCATCCTTGAACCATATCACATTAACATCGAAGGCTTTTGAACCTTAAATGGCCTCCTGGTGATATCACTTCTACAGCTCGTGCAGTGCCCATTGATTGCCTGAAACCCCTTCAACCCCGCCATCGATCATCTCTACCGCCCGCCCTTGGAATTACCTACTCTGTCGAGCTGAACAGCACCTCCGAAGACCCTAGCAAGATCTCTGGAGCAATCCCCATCTTGCAGCGCACCATGGCTTGCCCGATTACCATTACCAAGTTCGTAGGGACCATATCCCTAGGCCTTCTAACTGTCGGGATACCACTCAATTGTCTTCACAGGCTGCAAAAGCTCACAATGTGACAGGGCACTTCATATACTCTCATCAACATTTTGCCGTCGCTCGCGTTGTTACCCTCAGCATCCCTAGCCGCCCGCACACTTACAACCATTCAAACCCAATCGACCCGTCAAATCCTAACATTAGCCTCCATCTCTTCGCTGTCTCTGATCACCGCATACACCGTCGCCCCAGCCCGTGGTAAGCATCCTTACCTCTTGTGGACTGCCCTCGTGAGCTTTCTCGGTGGCCAGGGTGTTGAGTACTGGTATAACGGTCTTTCGAGGTTTCCCAGCTTGAGCACCAGCCGATCAGGACGTCGCACCGGAGGAGCTATTAGTGCTGGGCGGGGAGCCAGTCCCGCCACAAGTTCGGACAGTGGCTATATCGAAGTCGAGCCGCTTGGCCAGAGTGAAGAGCAGGTTAACGGCGAAAAGGTCGAGCTTGAAATGTCAAGAGAGCGCAAGGTCCAGAAGGTCAGAAGCTGGATCGCTGGTCTTGGTTTCGCCATGGGCGTGGTTGGAATCTGGGGCGATGGAGTTTAAAATATCTACTTTCACAGGCCAAAACCTCCGGGAACCTGGAGCTACTATATTCCCCCAAAGTCGACTTCGGCTCGACCGTGATCAAGAAAGTTGGAGGCTTATCTCTTTTCAACTGTCACACTATATTAAGAATCTCACTGCTAGTACGGAAAATACCACGACAAAAGTGACAAAAGTGTTGCAGCCAAAGTCCTTTTCCATGCGACCTATCGACCTTTTTGTACCAACCAATGAAACTCCATATTCAATATGCCCAATCTCTCCTTTTCTCACGCTCTCGACTCCCTCTTGTGCAACGTTTCATCTTGAGGCTCTCACAAAGTCATTATGCTATGGATCACTCCGATGGAATATAGCTGGAAATAGTTTGAATTAACCACCAATATAAAAGTGAATCAATCAATCAAATCACTTCAAATAAAAATTGTTGACGATGAGTCACGTGTGATTTGTCTACTCACTTTGCGCTATACAGCCTACTCCGGAGCAACACTTGGAATGCTCTCCAATCTGAACTGCTCCGTAATCTGGGCCATCTGAGACTTGATGTGGAGGTGCCATAAAAGCCCATACGTGGGTTCTTAACACGTCCATTCACGGTAATAATACGATCTGGCTTGCCCATGGGATGTCCGCAATCGCACTGACCCACCCTACAAGTAGGCTGAAATACTCTACCGTCTGATGTTCATCCCTCACTGGCCACCAAAGCGTTAGCGGTGTCCGGCTCCCCAAGATGGACTCGTGCTGGGGTCTCCGCTTGGCCGTGTGTGCCTGACAGCAGCATCAAACTCAGCCAACACGCGTCGTTCTTCATCACTCATGCACAGGTTCCGGTCACCGACAATTTGCGGTTTTCGATCTGTTATCTGTTCCGGCTGAGGCTGAGGCCGAGGCTCGGATTCTGGAAGCAGCCAATGCCGACGCTGACGTCGCTGACAATGTCTGCGGTAGCGATGCTCGGGGACAAGAGCATGGCCTTGTTCACTGGTATCGAGACCTATGTTGACTTCGGCATCCCCAGCTATACCATCGCCAGGCTCATCATCGCGATACCCCCTCAGCCCAGTTGGCTCTGAATAACTATCATGCTGGATATCAAAGTTCCAGAAATCTAGCTGCCTAATGTCTGCTTGATGTGCTCTCGCTTCTATGTTTCCCGCCCGTTGTGGTTCTCCGGATTGAGTAGGATACACATAGTGCGAGCGAGACATATACTCACTTTCGTCTATGCCTGTATCATCAATTTGCCGGAAAGACAACGGCACGTATCTCATCTCGGATGGAGATACCAGCAATGGTCCCTAGCCATTCTGCCAGGCCTCCAAATTTGCAGCATCCGGGACTATCCACTGAGGTTCAGCGGTAGGCTCGGCTGTCGCTGGCGACCCTATTCGCTGCCCAGCCGTCATAGTAGAGTTTTCACTACCTAATGTCGCGCCGTTGATCATTGCCGTTGGACTGAAAGTTGTGTTGGTGCTCATGTTCGTGTTGAGGCCAATGCCATTGGTAGGGAGATTTTGTTGCTGATGTTGAAAATTTGTCTGCTGGATTGCAGATGATGCCTCCTCACCAAAGGCAACGCTATCGCTGTCATTAGGCATGTGCATTGCGGCTAAACCCCAGCCAATGGCATCGAGTTCACGTTGGAAAAAATCGCGTTCATCTGGGTCAATTTCTTGGCCTCCCTCGTCTTCATCTCCCTCGTCAGAGCCGGCCAAGGCCGAGATCGCGTTGGTGTCTTCCTCATTCACATCTTTGAGATTTTCTTGTCGTGTGGCTGTCATTCTTCTTTGTATCTGCGTCAAGTCCTTCTTCTGCCGCCCTCCTTGCCTCATCACTCCTGGATATATCCGCTTCTGCCACCAGAATGTTAGACCCCTGAGAGCCCATTCCAGAGGAACTGCCTCATCCACTTCGCCCTCCACATTGGCGTCATGCATCCCGGCTAGCCAGTCATCCCGCAACTCTGGGCGACAATGCAGATATATTGCTGTGATGACCCGCATATTGCTTTGACGCCATTTCCGACCGCAGTAAGGAACTTGTGATTTGAACAGCTTGAGGACGTACAGTCGTAGCGTAGGATCAGGCACGCGCAAAACTCTGCGCAGAATTTGCGAGGACTTGAATTGCACGAGAAAAAGGATTCGATGAGACTTGCCCCGCGTGAGTTTTTGAAGGATGCGAAGGAGGTGGATTGAGGTTTGAAACTGTCGGAAAGAATACGTCGTGATTGGCGCAGACGGTAGAGGGCCTAACGGGTTGCCGAGTTCATCAACGGAAGGGCGGAGCTGGTCGAATTGAAGTGGCTGCGTGGAGTCAGACGATCCTTGCGCAGTAGGACGTGTTCGCCGATCTTGCCGTTCACGCGATATTGGTGGCGGGATCGCATCTTCGCCATCCGAGATTTCAGATCTCTCATCTGGACTAGTTGGTGACAAGGGCGGATGGTCAGAGTGAACATGACAATAGTGCCAAACGCTTAGATCATCACGGTCATAATTGAACGCCACGAGATCCTCAAGGTTTTGATGTGCGAAGTACTTCAAGGTGAGTTGAACGTAATTGGAATCCAACAGCAATTGATTCAAGTACTCGAATTTCAGAATATGCGAGACTTTGCACCATTTAAGAAGTAGAAAAATTGCTCCGGACACAGCTTTCTGGCTGATCTCCCGAGAACGTACGTTGTCCAAATCTTCGAGCGTCATATCTGCAGGTCGGGGCGGTACTGGAGGGATTGGTAAAGACTGAGCCATATTTGGGTTGGATTTTGTGCGGTTTATGCCACCTGATTGCGCAGAGTCTTGTAGCGCCTCATTTCGAACGGCAATGTCTTGGACATTTGCCAGCATCACTTTCATCATAACGATAATTAGTGACTGCAAGTTGGGAAGGGCTTGGTGGAAAAAGTTTTCGACGGCCACCATCCGAGAGCGTAGTAGCGCGTCGTTGAGGCTGTTGAGTTCTGCCTCTTCGTCTGATAGGAGTGGTTTATCCTTCTCTTTACCATTTCTGTTGGCCATGTCTGTCAGATTGCCTCGCCAGCCTCGTTCGTATTTCATGAAGAGATCCCTTTCTTTCCAAAGTTGACGCATGGCCCTAGACATTCTCATTCGGCTAGCAAAGAGTTCTCCAGCCTCAATAATTGATCGAGGTACATCGCTTCCCTCCCAACTTTTGCCAACCATCAAGTCTTGAATCTCGGTTGAGCCTTTGCCACCAATTGTGTTGCTAGAAATGTCTAGTGGTGGGTAGAGGAATGGAAAGTTCTGATTGGTCTGATAATTCTGCTTTTTTCCAGTCTTTCCACCTGACCCAACCGGCGAAGGTGGAGGTGATGGTGCAGGTGTGGCAATGTGAACTGGCTGATGTAGAATCGAGCCTCGTGGCGGCCCTCCGCTCGCACCTGTTGCGCCTGATCCAGGATAGTCAGGCCTGGACGTCATATTGGTCAGTGGAGGAAGCATGGTTTTGTGTTCGAGCTCGAGGGGTACCAGAGGAAGGGGTGGATTGTACGCTGGATATTTGGAAGTAATCTCTTGGCGAAATAGATGATAATCCAGCGGTGATGCAGTCAAGACAGGATGTGCCGCTTCTGCTGAAAATGGATCAACACGGGGCTGTAGGATGCCTTTGATCTTCTCAAGGTGTGTCTTGACATCTCCAAATAGGAGAAGAATCAACTTCCAGAATAGTTGCAAGGCATGCATGAGTGGAATGTTGTATGATTCGTCCCATCGTAATCGTGAAATCATGCTGACCAGAAATACTAGGCAATTGGGTTGTAAAGAAAGCATAATTGTTCGAATCTGTTGTCCTTCAGTAGTATCATCTCGTTCCCTTGCAGATTCCACCAAGATGTAAAGGCAGGAAAGGCACAAGCTGAGCTCTCGATATTCGTTCTCACCGAATGCTCCATCGGCGACATCCTCGCCACCAGACGACTGTGGACGAATATCCGAGTCTGGCGTTGATGCAGCTTGGACGAGACAAGCAAACAGCTGAGGTATTAGCGAGCTCTCGGCTAGGAGGGTGGCTCCCTTGTGCATCCATTGCACTTGCACAATGTTGGAAGGTTCGACATGGGGTTCTTCAAAAGCATCATCCGCGCTGGAATCTAGCTTGATTTCTAAGCCGGACGTAGTACTCCAAGCGCCAGTCAGCACGTAGTAGACACAAGACAGTCCTTCAACCCGGGTGGTATAGTCTTCATCTGCCAAATCATCAAGCAGATTGGTGGCAAACTGTCTTCGCTGCTCCTGAGTTGCAGCAATCCAGGTTGTGTCGTCTGGCAAACTGTTCTCTTGGCAAAAACCTTTGAATTTGTGCTCAAAAGCATCGAGTGAAGCGAGTAAGTAGTCCCTGTCTTGCTCTATTTCGGTGTAGTGGAACCACTCATCAATCTCCGCTTCAAAACTCTCTGCATCCTTGTACTGAAAAGCATAGGCTCGTTGGTCGGCCCTAGGAAATTGACTGACTAGCTGTCTGAGCTGTGGAAGACTTAGAGAATCCGTGACATCTGGCTGATGTGGAGGAGGAGCTGGTGGTGGCTGTGACGGGGGCGGTGGTGGGGGTCCTGTACCCTCCCGTCTTAGTCCAGGCCTCATAGGTGCTTGAGGATGCTCATTGTTTGCTGGCGCTGTTTCCAAATTGGCAGGAGTCAATGAACTCAAGGGCAATTCTTTGCTGGGGGTAATGATAGATATCCCTGCGTCGACCTCATCTGCCCTGACGAATATCTGTTGTGGCTCGGCTTGTTCCTGATTCTGTTGATTGGCGGCCATGAAGAATCCGGAGGTTGGCAGACTTATGCTGGAGATGGAAACCGCAATTTATACAACTCAGCGGCAGATCCATCAGAATCCTATGATCAACAGTATTTAAAATCAAGCTGCCGAGGGTATGAACTCGTACTTGACAATATGAAGGGAAGTTTGAACTTTCGAAGCCAGATCTGGGAAAGTCTTCGAGGCCGCCAAGCTTTAGTGCCATTGGCTGCCTCAGACTTCGTACGAGTTTGTCCAGGGCATGGGAGTGTCTAGCACTTGGCAATAACGTTTTCATGTATTACACGTGTCTGTATTAGGTGTCAAGCAATCGCCTATTGACCAGGGACAGGGAACTCGACTGATTACTATGTAGTAGCATGTTGATCTTTCCTCTCGCTAGGTCACCTCGTAACAGTAATGAAGTACCACCTCTGCTCTATGAGACTCATCTGGTTTGCCTCCGATAACATCACGTCTGATCCACAGCTCATATAACCTGATAATGAGCAGCACAATCGACCACTCAGAGGGGAGGGACACCCCGTTCGTAAACCCAGTAGGACCTTGTGCAAACTTGAGTTGGAGCTTGACTCTGAACGTCGAGGGATCAATTCAAGTTTATACATAATAGTCCAGTAGAGTCCACATAAGACCAAAACCAGTAGCTAGTATGTCGTGAAGCACGATATGTCATACTTTGGGGTGTTCTCTGCCCCAAATTGCTATGCTTCAGTCCATCTCTTCGTCTGGGGTGGGGATCGCTTTCACAGCGTTTTCCAAAGAACTGGGAGCGTCGCGTTCATTCTGTGTTTTCAATTCCGACCGCTCTACAAAGTCTCTTGCTCTCGACAACAGCTCTTGCTTCATGGCCTCAGCAACCTTATCGCTGGCACGTGCATTTAGCCAGCTTGGGTCCAACGGCCCCCCACCAACTCTTGAAGTTCCAGCATCGCCGCCAAATTTTCTGCCCTTCCTTGCGTCAGCTTCATCTCCAGGTTTGACTAGCTCGGCTTCTTCCAAAGCATAGACCTGGCGTCGCAGTCGCACTTCGATGGATGACAGCGTTGAGAAATATGTCGAGGCAGCATGCGTAAATGCGGTGCGAGCCGCGGACGAACTTCGAATATTGTTTTCTGGGGATGGGGAGTTTGAAAGAATCTCAACTGCATCGGATGCAGCCAAAAGTAGGATCGAAATGGATTGGTCAATTTCATTCAAATCAGCGATGCGCTCGGCGGGGGTAAGTGAGATGGTTGAGGGTCCCTTTGTAGCTGAGGTATTCAGTGCTTCAGCCTCCATGATAGTCAGTGTCTTTGCTTGAGTTGTAGCAGCGCAGGAAGGGCATATTGCGAACTGAGAGTCGACAACGATTTGTTTACAAACTCCAAGCAAGTTCATTGTACAGACACCTATTGTACTTTGCATCACAGCGTCCACATAAGGCAAGTACACCGAGTTATCGAACTAAGGGAGGCTTAGCGTCGTATCTCTTGGCGAACCCGATCATGACCATCTTTCCAAAAGGTTCTTGCCCCAGGCCACATCTCGAACCACCCATAAACATAGAGAACGGCTCAGCTTTCCCTATCCATCGACTGTCCCTTGCTTAATGCTTGAGCTCAGCAAATTCTACACATATTCTTGTGTTTTTGAGATCGGCGGACCCTCCTACATGAGCATCAAGTAACCATGTCAGGGCATAACGCGCCTAGCCCAGCGCCTAGGAGCGCGAGCGCTGGTCCTAATGGCCCTTTAACGACTCCAACCTCGGCACCTCTGGTCAATGGCGTGGGTAGCGTATCCGCATCAGGACCATCGGTACCTGTCCCGGCAGCTGGAGGATCGGCAAACACAGGCGGTATGTCTCAACAGAATTTGAATCAGATTGTGAGTACCTTCTGTGAATTTGTTCATACTCCTTCATGTTATGGCGCACTCTGGAACGGGTGATGTGCAGGCGTATTTCCGGAGGATGGAAGAAGGTTGAGATTCCAAATGCCCCAACCAAAGCGAAACGTCCAAGCAATATATATCAGACCAGAGTACACTGAGGAGAACACCTCCAATTGAGTGGACTTGTGCAAGAAAAAGTCTCTCCGGGAAACGGGATCATGACTGTTGGTTTTCGGCTGTTGTCACGATCGACCACGGCTTTAAACACGGAAGTATTATGGACGCTCAAACATGACGTACGATGTCGGAGCGGTAACTAAATGCTAGAGTTATAGATATGAGGTTCTTCTCAAGACCAGTTTGGAAATTAAAACGGAGACCCTCTACCAGAAGCCAGGAATTCCCTTTGCGCTTTTCACTCTGCTGAACTGCCACGATGGTGACACGATTTCTAACCATAATATAGGTGATTGACTACCTCGCCAAGAAAGGCTACCATCGGACTGAGGCTACTTTACGAGCTGAATCATCGAATCAAGAAATTCCCCGAGATGCCTCGATCCAACCACAAGGCTCTGGCCCGCCTCGTTACCTGGAGATGTATAGTCGCTTAAAAGCGTGGATTGACGATGCGCTTGATATTTACAAGCCTGAGGTTGCGCGAATCTTGTGGCCCATTTTTGTGTACTCTTACTTCGACCTTGTCAAAAAATTCTACCCTAAGGATGCAGCGCGATTTTTTCAGAAATTCAGCGACGACTTCAAGAAGGAACATGAATATGACCTTGGTAGTATTGAGCACATTACTCTGCCCGAACATGGCGAAGACAAGATTGCGACGCTCTATCGCGACAACAAATATCGACTTTCTCTCAGCCAACCCGCATTTACCTATTTTATGCAGTTCCTCGAAAGCCTCCCCGAAACGGGGTTCAAACTCTTCATCAACATTGTCGAAAAGAATCTCGACCTTCGGCAGGTCGAACGGGGAGCGGATGATCGATTCAGCTTCGCAGCTATTATTGCAAGAGGCGTTGATGGCCAAGACATGCCAGCAGAAGATGAAGGCATTCCTGGTCATCGCCCGGGAAATGCGGTTTCGTCGACAGATCCTAGCGTTGGAAACAATCTCGCAACACTCAAGCTTGGAAAACTCGCCATGGAGAAGGATGCTGAAGAAGATGTGCGTGCTGAAGTTACAGAGCTTGATCTCATCGTTCCTCCAAGAGATGGGCAATCTACCTTACTACAAACCCATGAACTCCTCAACATCAAGCAAGAAGATGAGGACGAAGGACCCAGCCGGGCGGAAATACCTTTTCCACCATCCACAGCCCGCGATGTTGCTATGGAGGTCCAAAAGATCCGTGAAAACAGAGACCGATTGAAGATCGAATCTCGCACCGGAGGCATTGGCCCTGGTCTCAGTGTGGTCATGTATACTTTCCATAACACCCACGACAGCATGATATGTATGGACTTTTCTGGCGATCAAAAACTTGTTGCTGCTGGATTCCAAGAATCCTACATTCGAGTGTGGACACTCGATGGATCACCTTTGGGTGGTGCAGTCAATGGTCAGCAATCCAATTCGCAGCGTCTCATTGGACATTCAGGTCCTGTATACAGCGTTGCCTTCGCCCCATCAAGTGTCAAACCAAGTGGCGAGATAGGTGATACTGATACCAAATGGCTTCTCTCTTGTTCTCAGGATTCCAGCATTCGCCTCTGGTTCTTGGACACCTTCCAGTGCGTGGTTGTTTACAAAGGACATGTTGGACCTGTCTGGTCTATCTCCTGGGGTCCTTATGGCCACTACTTCGCTAGCGCCGGCCATGACAAGACAGCGCGGATCTGGCAAACCGATCACATCCGCCAAGTTCGAATTCTTGCCGGCCATGATGACGGTGTTGATGTAGTTGCATGGCATCCCAACTCAAGCTACGTCTTCACTGCATCTTCTGATAAGACTGTGCGCATGTGGGCTTTGAATAATGGCAACCCTGTTCGCATGTTTACGGGCCATACCTCCATGGTAACTGCATTGGCATGCTCTCGCAACGGCAAGATCCTTGCATCGGCAGATGATACTGGTGTTATACTACTTTGGGATCTCGGACCAGGTCGTCTGCTGAAGAAAATGCGTGGTCATGCCAAAGGAGGAATCTGGTCACTGACCTGGAGTGCAGAGTCTACAGTCCTTGTTTCCGGCGGCGCCGACGGTACCGTGCGGTCCTGGGACGTGACGGGACCTGCAAAGAAATCGGCCACACCAGCTACAAAAGCAGATGGAAGTGGCAGCGCGACGGCGGGAAAAGCGGATGGTGGCATAGGCAGTTCGACAGGGACTGGCGGCGCAGTGACGGCGTCATCTGCAGGCTCTGGACTCAACATATCCGGCGGGACCGCAGGCCCAGCTGCTAGCACTACAGGCGGCGTTGCTGGTGCTCATCATAAGAAGCGAGGGAAGGACGCAGTTGTCACCAGCGACCAGATTTCCGCGTTCTTGACGAAGCAGAGCCCTGTGTACTTGACACAATTCACCAACATGAACCTTGTGTTGGCTGGTGGCGCATATCTTCCAGAAGCAGGAAAATAGAGAAGGTTATCATGTATGAAGGCATTACCACATTCAATTTGGCTGGAGTACAGAGAGAGAGCAGGGAAATTCATGCATGGCTCCACGTTGGGAGGGAGGCATTGGGCATTGCATCCTGAATTTATCATACATGTGCTCCCGCGCGTAGCAGATCCATTGGTGGAACGTTGATTAAAGCTGCCTCGTTCCTACGGTGCTCAAAAGCGAAACGGAACTCCAAGGGAGGATTATGAACTATCCAATAGCATCAGGTACAATACTGGGTGCCACTGCCTACCGACTGAGCGGTTAGAAACCTACGAGTAAGGTTAGGCTTCAGGGCATCCATGTGGATAAGTTAGAGGCCCTCGCCGAGGCCCAGGAGTGCGATAAGCTACCTGATGTTGGTTAGGCACACGGTATACCCTAGGTAACTACATACGCTCACTCCGTAGGTATTACTGTAGTATTAGGCACTAACTAATGCTCGGGGTGCCTAAGTATCTAGGCAGTTAAAGACCTAGGCAAGCACTGCGGGCACCTGGCTGTGCGTCAGCCTGCCAGCTTCCGAACTGCATCGAGTCCTCCGTAGTGTAAACACCTCCTAGTACTACTGTCGACCGAGGGCTTCATCAAATACTCGCAATGCACACTGACACCCATTCCAGATGCAAATTGCAATACCCTCAACGTTCACCGAAAATTGTCACTGTCAAGTCATCCTCTGACACCTGCCACTCAGCGATCGGCCTGGTTGTTGTTGCCGTTGATTTGCCCACGGATCCCTCGTTTCTGTCCTGATTCTGGTACAACCTCCTCTGTTGGCGTCTCACTCTCTTCTCACCCACCACACCTGGTACTCGGACTTCCGATGATTGTTCTGTCTAAGGACATGTTCAGTGTTGACAGGATACAAAGAACCCTCGTCGACGCTGCTTTATCACCCATTAGCCAGTCTTCACGCCGGGCACGCACTGCGACCTCTGAAGCCACCATCCCGGACTTCTGTCACTTCCTGACCACTCCGCATGCATGATGATGAGGAAGAACAATGGCACAAAAGATGGACAAGGACACTGATGCCGCCTCTATTAAACCTGTTTCCTCTTTGAGGTCTCATTTTGAGGGACTCAAGGTCAATCAGTCACAACTTGAGGATCGAGGAAGCAACTCAGCTTCTCCCCATGTGCTACGGCCTGTTGATGCGTCCTCTCCGCTCCCTACCATCAGAGCATCTTTTGATCTTCCAAGACCATCATCTCCATGGAGTGAAGCGGCACAAACACACTATGGAGGCCACCGGACTCCAACAAAAGGAACTGACTCTCCTCCTAAGCCTGGCCATAAACGGCCCGTGTCTATGCTCCTCCAGTCTTCACCGCAGTTGACGCCTTCCGTTAAGGTGGAGTCTCCGCGATCGCCTCCCCGAACCTTCTTTGAACGGAGTTCCTCTAGATCGCCTGAGCGAATTGACAATACGCCCTTTGCAAAGGTCCGCGAACTCATCTCCCAGCACTCGAGCAGAGCCTCGAGCCGTCCTCCTACTTCACGAGCGCCGAGCGTAGATCGATCGGATCCCTCGATGACCGTTGAAAGATCCAACATCGAGGACTTTGGCATTTCTGAGACAATAAAACCCTCCACCGTGCCACCTCCAATAAACCGTGCGGACAAGCCAAAGATACCGGCCAAGCCAACAACTATTCCCATGCCTCCGAATACTGGTCTGAATCCAGAAGCGCGCCAGCCCTCTTTTGACGCAAAAGTCTCACCGTTCAGTACTCCGCCGAGTAGTGATGAAAATTCTCCTTCCCGAAGCCCTGAACCGCAGACCCTCGTAGGGATGCTGAAGCCTTCCGATCCTGGAGTTGCACTCGTGAGGGCACCGATTCCCTTACTTCCACCGCCTGCTGTAAACCAGGCTGTGGAGAGGTATAAGGAACCCCGACTACTCGGTTTTGCAAGCAAGCCAGTCAGTGCAGACAAACGGGACCCACGAACTCTAGGATTCGCAGCTCCCGAACCCAAACCACCCAGTCAACCAGCCATATTGCCTTCGAGGGCAAACACAGTGTCAGAGAAACCCACCAGGGATCCAAGAGAATTGGGCCTTTCTACAGCGAGGCCCGCACCTCGCCACGTCTCCGAATCCATAAGGCATGCTCCCTCTTCTCCCATGCCCACGCAACCCATCACCCGAGCAGTGCCTTCACGAGACGCTCGCATGCTCGGTTTCTCAAGCCATCAGGCTCCAGAAGTCACATCAATCGAAGAGGAGCCACGCCCTGGCCTCCCTCCGCGTAGAATGGAGCCTCCACCTCGTCCTTCAAATGAATCCAAAAACACTGTTCGTACTATTCCCCCTCCGCCGTCGGTGGGCTTGCCCGACCGTAGCAAGAAACCAATCTCATCTAAACCAATCTCACGGGCTCCAGCCCTGCCGCTGGACGTCAAGTTTCCCCCTCCACCCAAACGTGGCAGTGGGGACGATAATGACTCCCCATTATCGACCATAACGCCTCGAGCACACATTTTCACTGGAGATATCGTGAAGCGATCAACCATGGCTACGAGGCCTGATGATTCAGATGACATGGAGAATGTGATGGAAGAGCCCTCTACCATAAAGTCAGAGTATCCTGATGCAACGAATACGAACCGTCGGATGCCCTTTCCCAAGAGCGGGGTTTGCGAAATTACTACAAAGTCTGAATCACGGGTTGCTGAAGTATGTGGCAAGCATCTTTGCACAACTGGTTACATAACCCGAGTTTTTGACATGTCGTCTGGTGAACAAGTCATGAGTTTGAATCATGGCGAAACGGTGAAGGTTACCGCAGTGGTGTTCAAGCCCGGGACAGACCTAGCAAGCGAAGGGCAAAGACTCTGGTTAGGTACCAATATTGGCGATATCATGGAGGTGGACATCGATACACATACTGTAATGGCCACCAGTTCCTCTCATAACAGACGAGAAATCGTGAGGATCATCCGGAGTCAAAGGGATATCTGGACGCTGGATGATGAGGGTAAATTGTTTGTGTGGAAGGCCGATGAAACAGAAGTTCCTAATCTCAAATACAGCCATGTATCTCACAAGACTCAGAAGGGGCATACATTCTCTATGGCTGTTGATGGAAGGCTTTGGCTTGCCACCGGCAAAGAAATTCGAGCCTACCAGCCTGGGAACGAGAGTAATTTTGCTCCACTTACAAAACCGCTGTCTCAGCACGGTACTGGCGACATAACTTGTGGCACTTATTCGTCGGAAGGTGGAGGGAGGGCTTACTTTGGCCATAACGATGGTAGGGTCACGATGTACTCGACCAAGGATTTTACTTGCGTTGGTAACGTCAAGGCGAGTGATTATAAGATCAACAGCCTCACATTCGTTGGAGACGCACTGTGGGCGGCATTCAAAACCGGGAAGATCTATGTTTATGACACCAAAACTTCCCCATGGAAAGTCAAGAAAGACTGGCGTGCCCACGACGGACCAGCGACCGAGGTACTTCTCGACCCCAGCAGCTTTTGGGTCTTGCACCAGCTTCAAGTTGTCACTATAGGCCATGACAATTTCGTGCGACTGTGGGATGCTACGCTTGAGGATGACTGGATTGAAAGCGAGATGCAAACCCGAGATGTGGAATACTGCACGTTTCGTGAACTTCGCGCTGCGGTCATCACTTGGAATGTTGGGGCATCCACCCCATATGACATTCGGAATGACTTCATAGCAGACGCCATCCATGCAGATGACCCTCCAGAGATAATAGCTTTTGGATTTCAAGAGGTCGTTGACTTGGAAGATCGCGCCATCACTGCGAAAAGCATTTTAGGATTTAGCAAGAAAAAAGACGTCAATAGGACAGAAGCGCATCAAAGTCGTGTCTACCGCGAATGGCGGGATTATCTCATGAAGATGCTCAGCCGCTACTGCACGCAATACTCGTATACGGAACTACACACCTCCAGCATGATTGGACTCTTTCAGTGCGTATTGATTCGGCAACAAGAACGACCGAACGTCCGCAACCTGGAGGCAGCCAACGTCAAACTTGGATTGAAAGGCCATTACGGTAACAAGGGCGCTCTTGTTACACGATTTGTGCTTGATGACAGTTCAATCTGCTTTATCAATTGCCATCTTGCGGCTGGGCAGACGCATACCTCTCATCGAAACAATGACGTGGCGAGCATTTTGGAAGCTGAAGCGCTTACAGCTCAACCCGACCCAGATGAGCGCAGCTCCCTTTACATCGGAGGCGGCGATGGAACTCAGATTCTTGATCATGAGATCTGTATCCTCAATGGTGATCTAAACTACCGGATCGATGCAATACCCCGAGACACTGTCATTTCGATGGTCAAGCGCGGCGAGCTCTCCAAGCTGCTGGAACGCGACCAGATCATGGTCTGCCGAAAGAGAGTGTCGGGGTTTCGACTCGGTCCCTTCGTTGAACTTCCAATCACGTTCGCGCCGACGTACAAATACGACGTCGGAACGGACAACTACGATTCCAGCGAGAAGAAGCGCGCACCGGCGTGGTGCGACCGGCTCTTGTATCGTGGCGCAGGCAGGGTGAAACAGATCGAGTATCGGAGGCATGAAGTGCGCACCAGCGACCATCGACCTGTCAGTGGACTTTTCAAGATCAGAGTCAAGACCATCGACCCCAAGAGGAGAGCGAAAGTCAAAGCAGAATGCTTTGAACGCTTTGGACAGGTCCGGCGGCAGGTGGCAGAGGCGATCAGCGTTACCTACCTCATCAGGGTGTTAGGAATCGATGAGAGAGAGGCAAGGACATTGATCATGAAATGATGCTGATCGGAAAAAGCTAGATAGCCATCACATGTTTGTCCTTGTGGTGAGACATCAAAGGAATGGCCCCTTTCTCTAAGGGGCAGAAAGGATAGACAGCCTTTGTTTTTCTCTCTTCCTCCCCTTTTGTTCCACCCGTTTCATTGGATGCGATTCAACGAGGCGTGTAGTAGGAATTTTCTGTAATACTAGGAACAGGGAGGCGTGAACGCATGAAGATAAAGCAAATTAGTTGGAATTGAGTCCTGAATATCTACAACAGTATGGCGGCGTTTACTTGCCCACCGCGCTCTCGCTCGCGGCTGTTTAGTCTCAATGTGAAATCACTGAAATCACCCCAAATTGGGGAGTCGTCACATCCTTGGTCGCATCCTGGATCACGCGCACATGACTCGTTGCTGCGACAGCCGAGTTAGTAGCTAGTATAGTAATCCTATAATTCTCATGCCTCCTAAAAATCGCCGCCGTCAAAATCGCCACCGCCGCCACCATCCTCATAACCGTCTTGATAGGCATCTTGTTGACCATCATTGACTGCATCAGCGAGGAGCATACCTCCTAAGAGACCACCCCCCACACCCAGAGCAGCTGCTCCTCCTACACCCATGCCACCTTTGCGGGGCGGGGGCCGTCCGTATCCTCCGCCATAACCTCCGCCATAACCTCCGGCGTAGCCACCACCAGGGTAGCCACCATAGCCAGGACCTGGCTGTCCGTAGCCACCGCCAGGGCCTTGAGGATATTGAGGATAGCCGCCACCATAGGGCTGCTGTGGAGGATAGCCGCCATACTGCGGTTGCTGTGGATAGCCCGATTGGCCGTGGGATGAAGATGAGCCGCCACCAGATTTGCCCAGCAGCTTCCCTAGAAATCCTCTCTTCCCGCCAGATGACCCGCTGGGGCTCGTGGCCTGGGGGCCTCCAGGGTATCCACCTTGCATACCTGGAGGGTTCGGGGTGGACGAATTCTGGTAATACGAGTCACTTGCGCCACGGTTTCGTGACTCCTCTTCTTGCTGAAGGCGGCGCGCTACTTGCTCATCGGTCTCTTGGGAACCTCCAGGTTGACTGGAGGAATTGTAGGGGTTGTTAGATTCGAGAGGCTTCTTGGTGTCGCCGACTTTGGCATCGTTAGGACCAGCTGAATAGGAAGGCGGAGGCGCTGATGGTGTACCATCATCTCCCGGGCGAGGCGCAGGCTCTAATGGCTTTTCCCAGGTTGACTGTTTTGTGTGGAGGTTCACATAGAACCTATAAAAGAAGGGCATTAGTTCGTAATCAGATCCGCAAACGCATCAAGGAAGAGATTAGGCCTACCATTCTTTGTACTGGTCATTCCACACAGCCTTCCAGCCTTCTGGGACTTTGGGAGGAGGCGGGGTTGTCGGCGGTAGAAAATCAGACATCAGTTGAGGGCTGTAGGGTGGTTTGGAGAGTTGTTACAGAGGTGAGCGGAAGGAATTGCTTGCCCAAATATCAACAACGACAAAGAGAGCGGAGTCTGGTCTTTATGATGAACGACGACATTGTACGGCGCGGGGTGGCGCGGCACCCGTCTTGAGGAGTAGGAAAGTACGCAGTAGTCGCAAGTCGCAGGACAGAGACTGACGAGTGGCCACGGGGTGTTGTTTAGTGGGGGGGGGGCGGCCCAGGAGGTGCCCGCTTCAGCCATTGATACGCCTCGGAAGCTGATGGGTGGCGTGGTCAACGTCAGCCGAGCACCTTCCCGTTGCCTGGAAAAGAGGCTGAGCCTTGTCACGTGGTCTGCCTCCACGAGCGGGGGTCGTACCCGTTGGCAGCTAACCAGTCACAAGTCACAGCTCGGAACGAGGCATGTCATGTATTGAGCATAACTTTATCTTTGGCAGCGTCGCTCTCTCTAACAATCACGTCCCTCCTCTCCTCTGAGAGCCCTCTGCCACGACTTCCGAGTACTACATATACCTAATCAGCAAGCAATGCTTTCTGGACCCAACCCCAAGCACTCGGTATTCGTGCGTGCGGACAATATTTGATCATGTAGAGTGCAGCGCCTTCCGCCCAAGCGAGCTCTAGAATCAGTCGCCCAGCACCTAGCTAGTTCCCTTGCAACACGCACAGTAACAGCCATTTGTCTATGTCTATGCCACAGGGTCCTACTCCAGAAGCGAGCCCGAAGAAAACCTCACAAGATTCGGCTTTCACTCTGCGAGCATAGTCTACACAATTTCCGGATCGAGGATTCATGTTGGAGCAACTGCGTACAGCAGTGGGCAAGAGGATGATTAGAGTGACAGCAATCAGAAAGATCTACCAAGTGTCCTGCGATTTGAGCCATTGCAACTATAAAGTCTGGCATGCTCCAACGAGCAGAATCCCGTTCAAGAAAATTCCCATCGCACGCGATACCTCTTGTCTTTGGCTGATCAGCTGGGGAACCATCCATGTTCCTTTCGTGCTCTTGAAGCACATGGGATCAAGACATACCCGTTCTGTCTTCCCGAGCAGCTGCCATTGTTGCCTCTTGCCTGATTGTTTCCCAGTCTCTTCTGTTGTGGTACTTCTTAGATAGCTGTCTCTATCCGCATCTCCGACGGACGACAATCATTTGGCACGTATCTTGGGTTTTTCTGCACTCTGCTGCTGGGTCGGACACCTAGCTGTTGTGGAAGTCTTGGGGACCTGTGTGAGAGCATGATTGAGAGATTCTTCACTTCTTAAGGTTGCGTGCCTGTCCGGGCCCAAAGACCATATGATACTGCAGAGTGGGCGATTGTTGGGTAGGCGACGTGAAGAATGACCGGGACCAGGACCGACGGTCGGAGGCGAAGGTATGATATAGTGATTTGGTCTTGTACTTGAGAGAATGACGTAGCTGAATGCATCCTCCGAGATCGTTAGGTGATCCAGCGTGTTCGAAGATGCGGTCTGGCATTGGACGAAGCTCTCGAACTCATTCATTCGGGCCATATCATTCGCGACGGTCTCACGATGGGGAGAGGCGATGGGATTGATGGCTCCGGTGTCGTCAAGATGAATGAATGCCGCACAGGTCGTCTTGCAAAGGGATCCCGTCTCTTGAACGTTGACACCGAACGTTTTCAGATCGAGCAAGTCATCAGCCAAGGTGTTGGTCAGGTTCGTAAGTGTTGGCTGCTCTAAGTCAACTGAAGTTGAGGAGGTCGGATCGAGATGCAGATTACCATTGGTGAGGTTAAGGCTGAAGTCTAAGGACCCAGCAGGCGTATACGGAGCCTGATACCAAATAGCGAGCTACGCTGCAGAGTCTAACGGTGAGTCTGAGCCAGTGCATGACTTCAAGAGAGGCTGTGACGCCTGGTGAAGCGCTATAGGCGAAGCAAATGTGATGTCCCAGGAATGACAGAAATCTTTTTCCTGATGAGACAAGAATTGCGCCCAAAGCTAATAGATACTATAAGAAATAAGTGAATTGAACACTTAACCGTTCGCGTGTAAAACGACTGCTCTACCAATTAAGCTAATTTCTTATAAATAGCGCGGATTGAGGATTTGCACCCCAATCTTTTGGTCATGAGCCAAAAATGTTATCAATTACACTAACCCGCGTATAACCCAGGAGAGATTTGAACTCACGTTTTAATTGTGAAAAAATTAAGTCTTAACCATCT